CTTTTTTTTTTTTTTTGATCACCAGAGAGTTAAGAGTTGTTCTTTGCTGTTGGAAGTACGCTGGGAACATACTTTATGCTAAGTTTGGCACAATTTTTAGGTAAATTCTGCCTTCAAATCATGAAGGAATGACGTTCTGAGCGTCCTGCTTAGCTTATCCATCACCCAGCCCAATGTAGATTTAGTAGTTCCTACAGATGACACAGTTATGATTGAACGTATTTTTATTTTATGATCACAATTGCCGAGAAAATGTAAGCACATCAAGTAGGACTTAGAGTGAACTGGACGGTTTTTACAAAAAGTTTTTTTTTGTAAAATATGGGTAATGTACAGCGGCACAACGATGAGTAGGAGAAGATCATTTTACTGTGTTCATACTTCTTTGTTGGCGCTCCGCGGCGATCTTTTGTCGTAAGTACTCGCGAGCGATACGCAGTGAAGGCAATTCGTCGAAGATTTTGTCTGGATAGATTATAAAGGCATTAATGCGTAGGATGACTGTGGAGCGAGAGTAGAGCTTGTGATAGTTAGCCTCAATTAATTGGCAACAGGTATCACGTACCGTCATATTCTTCAACCTGAGCACCGCTGTTAGTCTCCTCGCTATCGTCTACCACGTCCAATCTGCCCCGGATTTTCACTGAATCGTCATCAGCCAATAGTGCTGAAAGGTTCAATTTTCAAAGTATTTTAGGGGTGGAGTACAAAAATTGTGGGCAATGGGTGCGGCTGTGAGTAGCAAGCACGTCGGTGGGACAACTAACCATAACGATCAATAGAGTGGGTGAGACAACTAGCTATTAATCTCTAAACGCTGTGTAGACCTTCCGCCGACTCAAATCAGCAACATACGGAACGAATTTTTGCAAGATGGCTCCCTTCGGTTCGCTTGCCCATTTAGTTGCGCTATACATTTGTTTCTAATCAGAATATCGATGGCATCTGAATGCGTTTCGGACATGAAGGCTCCCACAGAACCAAACATGGCTTTAAAAGTATGATGGTCAGCTGTTGTGCTAAGGGGTTACCGTTCCACATTTCAATTACCGAAAGAATCTGGAATCGAGTACCTACCTTCCTGTGAAATGAACATCGACCCAAAGTGGTTATCACCATCTTCGATCCACTTATCGATCGATTGGTCGATTTAATGGGGCTGATAAGTAAGGAGTCCAAATAGAGGGTGTATGGTTGGCGAGGAGGTGAGCTGGAAGTCTAAACGGGATGAGTTGGGGCGCAAATTCTCAGCCTATGATGCTTGTACAGTG